TAGGAACCGTGGCGGGGGAGATTGTGACAATAGGGGAAATCAAAACCCTAGACCGTTCCAATCTTGTCTACGACATTTGCTTTGTTAGTAGTAAAATTACAGCTTTTTAATTACCTTGCTTTTAGTTAGTAAACAATCAACTCATTATTGAATATTTTTGAATGTTGATTATTTGGATTCTTACGAAACTAGTGGTTGTGATTAATAGGTTAATTCCATGTGGGATTTGACTCCGGACTGGTAAATCGGATTATATTTGCATCGACCGCTTGACCTCTTAGGAGGCATAGTTGCGCGTGATCAAATTTTGGTGTCGTTGTCGGGGAATTTATGGTGTTATTAATTAAGGCTGAAAGAATTCTTAGAATTTGTAGTTAATTCAGCTTTCTCGACTTAAAATTCATTATATTGAAACTCTAACGTTCGTAGTCTTGTATATTACAGATGCATGCCTAGAAACTCCTCAAGAACTGGTGAATTGTACGAAGCATTACCGAACCCTGAGAAAGCTTTCAAGGACTAAATCAAGCAAACAAGTAAGATAAACAACAACAAAACTCAATAGAACAAATCAAACTAGACATGCATGGTGACATAATAGACAATCCAAACAACAGAAATAATGAGAATGACCCGAACAACCAGGGTGTGGCACCAGAAGCAGCCTTGTATGATTGGGCATAACCTACACCTGAAAATATGGCAACCGCAATTGTAATCCCTCAGATACAAACAGAATCATTTCAAATCACAAATAACATGCTATATTTGTTGCAGAGCAAGAGACTGTTCTCGGGGTCTTACATTGAAGATCCTCAGCAGCATTTGAAAAATTTCCTGTAGATATGTGTCATGCAAAGGCAACCAAATGTGACACCGGAAGCAATAAGGTTGTTGTTGTTTCCATTCTCGGTGACGGGAGAGGCTCAGACTTGGCTCAATTCGCTCCCCATAAACTCCATTACCACTTGGGAGGAATTAGTCAAGCAGTTTTTGAACAAGTTCTACCCATCCAATAAGACTGCAAAGCAAGTTGATGAGATATTGAGCTTCAGGCAGAAACTAGCTGAAACATTGCAAGAAACGTGGGATAGGTTCAAAGGTATGTTGGTTAAGTGTCCACATCATAGCATTCCAGATCAGATGTTGAGGCAAAGGATCTATATTGGATTGGCAGCAGCTTGAAGGCCAATGTTGATGCTTTAGCATGTGGAGCATTTTTGAGCAAATCATTCAAGGAATGCAAGGTCTTACTTGATAAAATGGCTCAAAACTCAGGATGGATAACAAGAGACTCTACAATCACTCCTGTAGTTCAGTCAGTAGCTTTAGACCCAAACAACTCCATGGCTGAGAATATGGCTACGATGATGATGCAATTGAGTATCCTAACCAAAAAGATTGATGAATCAGGCCCGAAGCAGGTGCACATATTTGACACGACAAATGGAGGATTATGCACACCATGCATTAATCAGCCATATGTGTACTCGTGGAGTGGTGAAAGTGACAATCAGAACTATCAAGAGAATGTGAACTATATGGGCAACTATGGAGGCCAGAGACAAGGCGGTCAGACTTGGAGACAACAGAATCAACAATATAGGCCACCACAGTACCAGTACAACAACAATAATAATAATCTTGGAGCTGCATGACCATAGGGTCAGGCTGTGCCTTATTAAAGGCAACAAGGGTACAATTAGTAGAATCAACAACTACCTTATCAACAATCTCAACAACAACAGATAGTACAACAAGAGGATGGTTTGTTTGAAATTAAAGGAATGATGCAACAACTCATTGGGTCTAGCGAGAAAATGGAATAAAAGGTCTACTAGATGCAAGAAAAGGTAGTATCACACGACTCAACTATCAAGAGCATTGAGATTCAACTAGGGCAAATATCCATGGCCCTTAACAATCGCCCTCAAGGGACTTTACCTGTGGAAACACATGTAAACCCGAAAGAGCAGGGCCCGAAGTAGTTGATGGCTGTTAGTCTGAGAAATGATAGAGACCTTAATCTAGAGTAAGAAATTGCTAGCAGAATCCAACCAACCGAGATACTCGTGCCAATACCGATTGAGGTAGATAAGTCAACAGAGCTAACAGAAGTAAGAATCCAACCAACCCAGGAGGAAATAAACTAGGAAAAAGAGTTTGAAAAGAGGGCTGAGGAAGTGCAAGAGAAGGCATTAGAAAAAGTGCCCGAGCAAGATCAAACTCAAGTCACAGGAAAGAAGTGACCTCCAACTCCCTTCTTACAGATATTGGCCAAATATCATAAGGATGAGCAATATAAGAAATCCATGGAGATGTTGAAGCAAATCCAGGTGAACATTCCATTGATTGACGCCTTGAGGGAGATGCCTAGGTATGCAAAAATAATGAAGGACTTGATGTCTCGCAAGTTTGACTTTCAAGACTTTGCCACAGTTACACAAACTCAGACATGTAGTGCTGTCGTGAAGAGACCCATAGCTGAGAAGTTGTCCAACCCAGGGAGTTTCACAATCCCATACACAATAGGCAGCTATGCTTTTACTAAAACATTGTGTGATTTGGGGGTGAACATAAACTTGATGCCCTTGACTATCTATAAAAGGTTAGGCATTGGAAAAGCAAGACCCACATCCATATTACTACAGCTAGCTGACCGAATGGTAAAGAGGCCATCAGGTATACTTGATGATGTGCTGGTGCACGTTGGAAAGTTTGTGTTTCCGGTAGATTTTGTCATTCTGGATTGCCAGGTTGATGAGGATATTCCCATAATTTTGGGACGGCCATTCTTGGCCACTGGGAGAGATCTAATTGATTATGAAATTGGGGAGCTAAAGATGAGACTGAACGATAAAGAAATAACGTACAATGTGCAGAAGTCTATGCGGTGACCTAGTGAATTTGCAAACTTCTCTCTGATAGAAGCTGTGGATGTGATTTTGGAGGAGGAAGATGAGGCTCTGAATGCAAAAGACCCTCTAGCAGCCTGCCTCACGAACTTAGAAGAGGTAGATGGTGAGGACTTGGCAGAGTGGGTTTTGGCCCTTGAAGGCCAAGAGTACTGGAAAAGAGAGCTCGAATTCGAGCCCTTACACTTAGAAGAAAGAAAGACCCTCCAGCTAAGCCATCAATTGAAGAGCCACCACAGTTGAAGCTAAAATCGTTACCGTCTCACCTCAAGTATACTTTTTTGGGACCTAACTCAACTTTGCCTGTTATTATATCATCTGGTTTGTTAGATGTGCAGGTAGAACAACTTTTGCAGGTGTTAATGAAGTGCAAGATTGCAACTGGTTATACCATTACAAATATTAAGGGTATCAGCTCGGCATTTTGTATGCATAAGATTCTACTGGAAGATGGACACAAACCTTCCAGAGAACATCAAAGAAGGGTGGAATAACTGTAGTGCAAAATTAGAACAACGATCTAATCTCAACAAGAACAATCACTACATGGAGAATTTGTATGGACTACAGAAAATTGAACAAGGCCACCCGACAAGACCATTTTTTGCTACCATTCATTGATCAAATGCTAGATAGATTGGCGGGGAGGTCCCACTTTTGCTTTTTGTATGGATACTCGGGGTATAATCAGATCTCTATTGCCCCGAAAGATAGAGAGAAAACGTCGGTCACCTGCCCGTATGACATCTATTCCTTTCGGAGAATGTCGTTCAGCCTATGCAACGTACCCGCCACATTCTAAAGGTGCATGATGGCCATCTTTACAGATATGGTAGAGGAAATAATGGAAGGTTTTCATGGATGACTTCTCAGTGGTAGGGAACTCATTCGATTATTGCCTTATGAACTTGAAAAGAGTATTGAAGAGGTTTATGGAGACTAATCAGGTATTAAATTGGGAAAAATACCATTTCATGGTACAGGAAAGTATAGTCTTGGGGCACCTAGTGTCAAGTAAGGGCATTGAGGTGGATCGTGCAAATGTTGTTGTAATAGAAAATTTGCCACCACCCACTTCCGTCAAGGCAATAAGAAGTTTCCTTGGCCATGCCAGTTTCTATAGGCGGTTTATAAAAGATTTTTCCAAAATTGCTAACCCTTTGTGTAAATTGCTTGCAAAAGATCACCCTTTTGTATTTTCTAATGATTGCATGGTAGTTTTTGAGGAATTGAAGAAGAGGCTGGTATTTGCACCTATCATAGTTGCACCCGAATGGGAGCAACCATTTGAGTTGATGTGTGATGCAAACGACTATGATGTGTGAGTAGTTCTTGGGCAGAGAAAGATAAAGTCATGCATTCAATCTACTATGCAAGTAGAACCTTGAGTGTTGCCCAACTAAATTACACAGTGACTAAAAGGAGACTCTAGCAGTGGTGTTCGTATTTGACAAATTCAAGTCATACCTGATAGGCTCGAAGGTAATTGTTTATACTGACCATGCTGCTCTCAGGTACCTAATTGAGAAGAAGGAGTCAAAGCCGGGCCTGATTCGATGGGTGCTACTACTGTAAGAATTTGACTTGAAAATTTGTGATCGAAAAGGAACGGAGAACCAAGTGGTTGATCACCTGTCTAGGCTGGAAGGAGAAGAGAAGAAGGTGGAGGTGGAAAAGATTGGGGAAACTTCCTGGATGAACAACTGTTGGCCACGAGCCTTGAGGTAGCGCCGTGGTATGCACATTGCAAACTACCTGGCGAGCGGTATTGTCCCCTATGACCTTTCTACTGTCCAAGAGAAAAAGTTCTTTCATGACTGTCGCATGTATTATTGGGATGAGCCTTATCTGTTCAGGATTTGTGTTGATAACATGATCTAGAGATATATCCCTGAGATAGACCAATCTTCTATTTTGTAGGCTTGTCACATATCCCCATTTGGAGGCCATTTCGGGGGAGTAAGGACAATTGCAAAAGTATTGGAGTCGGGCTTCTACTAGCCGACATTGTTCAAATATGCACACCTTTAGGTGAATGGGTGTAATGAATGTCAACGGACCGAGAATATTTCTCGCCGACATGAGATGCCCATGAACCCAATTCAGGAAGTGGAAGTGTTTGACGTATGGGGAATCAATTTCATGAGGAATTTCGTCAGCTCATATGGCAACAAGTATATACTTGTAGTTGTGGACTATGTGTCGAAATGGGTGGAAGCTATGGCACTCCCCACAAATGATGCAAAGGGAGTCACTGGTTTTCTGAGAAAGAATATGTTCACCCGGTTTGGCACTCCAAGGGCAATAATCAGTAACGGAGGCAGTCACTTCTACAACCGAGCTTTCGCAAAGTTGTTAGAAAAATATGGTGTTCGCTACAAGGTTTCCACCCCATATCATACACAAAAAAGCGGGCAAGTGGAAGTGTCGAATAGATAAATCAAGAGTGTGTTGACAAAGACCGTGAAAGATACAAGAACGGATTGGGCGAAAAACTTAGACGATGAACTCTGGGCCTATCGTACCGCTTTTAAAACTTCAATTGGCATGTCTCCATATAAACTGGCATTTGGTAAAGCATCTCACTTAACCATAGAGTTAGAGCATAGAGCTTTGTGGGCATTGAGGCAACTAAATATCAATGTGGAAATAGCGGGTACAAGTAGAGTCACAGAGTTGCATGAGCTTGACGAGTTCCATTACCGTGCTTTTGAGAGTACAAGGCTATATAAGGAAAGAATGAAGATGATGCATGACAAAAATATTCTTGAACGAAATTTTAAACCTGGAGACGTGGTATTGCTATACAATTCAAGATTGAAGTTGTTTCCGGGCAAGTTGAAGTCTAGATGGTCGGGACCATTCAGAGTAGTGCATGTGCTATCAAATGGAGCTGCAGAAATTGAGTCCTAGGATGAGACGAATAGGTTTAGAGTCAATGGGCAAAATTTGAAACATTACCTAGGAATGAATGACAAAGAAAGAGAGAAAGATGTGATACAATTGAATGAACCTCAATATGTGAGTGAAGTATAATCCAGAAAGTCTGTAACTAGAATTTTTCTCTTGGTTTTAGGCAATAACATGTTTGTAGGCAGTACTAGTGGACCGGGTAGTAGAACTCGCAGTTCCAGGTTCCTAGCGAGCTTAGCCAGGCTGCATCGCTTGCATCGCCAGGTATTTTTCACGCATTGAAGCTCACTTAACGAGGGTTATAGCGAGGCAGATCTCACGAAAACCCTCACGCCGCCTGCCTCCCAGCTCGCGTTTGAGCTCGCCTTGCAAGATAGGTGGCTCGCGTCTGTCTTCACGTCGCCAGATAGGTTTTCTTCTTTTATTTTCCCTTTGTTTTGTTTCTTCTAACTTTTTCCCTTAAAAACCTAACTAAAAAATCACTGAAGACAAAGGCCTAAAAACTCCCACGCCTCAAAACATAATGCCCACCCCAAATTTCCCTCTCTACTGCCCACCCCAATTTCCCTCTCCCCCTCCCACACAAACCCCATTGAAGATAAGTATTCATCCATTCCTTCACTCACTTGATACATCAATTCAAGAGCATTCCCTCTTCCTAAACATCTAAGGTATGGTTTCTGACTCTTTTTTTTGCCAAATTTCAAATTGTGTAAAGGCATAAAATCGGATAACTTTTAGGTTTGTTCTTTATAGTAACAATATGTTTGTTTGTCCTACACCCATAAAACTCATAGGAATGGTATTGTTGTTGTGTGCAAAAGTGGTAGCACAGAATTCCCAAGCCAATTTGGGAGGGTGAGACAATCCCTCATTCCTACAAGCACTTCTATGGCACTAGTGCATGTTAAGGGTTTGTCAAAATGCCTCAAAGGTATTCTTTGTCCCTATTGGAGCCCGAGTCTCCGGGATTGTAATACTAGTGCTATGTCGCCCTGCACCACTTGGAATTTTAAGTGTGGGATGGCTCACCGGTAGTCGAATGCTTCGAAATTGTAGAAAGCATCATTGAGTCAGTGCTAGAATTTCATGTAGACCATGTTTTGAAATATTGCAATGCATCTAAAAATCACTAAGGTTCACTTGTGTAGGTACGAATATGCCTCCAAATAAGGATACTGGTAAAGGCAAGGGCAAAGCCACTGTTCAGTCCAAGGCTAAGGCTA